TTCCGACACTTCGTCATCATCAGATGCTGTGGCGCTGGTCTTCTTCTTCATCCTCTGAGTGGCGCTTGGCCTCAGAGGCCTGTTTCAGGGTGGCGCTTCCCTCAGGAGGCTGTATTTGGGTGGCACTTTATGTTTCAGTGGCTCAGGGGTGTTACGGGTGCTAATCAGGGTTGGGGAGTGAAGCGCTGCTCATTTCTGAGCAGCGCACTGTAGTACTGAAGTTATCCTGACAATTTGAGACTCTGAGTTTAATAAACAGTGTGTAACTGGATTTGGACTATCATCGTTTCATTGTTTCCTGGATGTGATCTGCTCGACTTTTCTTTATGACTGGTTGTGAGGATTGAGTGGAGTGAATTGCACTTTCAATGTACCTTGTCATATCCCATGGTCAAGTCTTCCGCTGTGTTATCTCTCCTTGTGCGGTGTGATACTCCTATCCTCTCCCCTTCCTTCTGTGTATGTATGGGTATACCTGGAAGTCTACGTGAGTGAGTGTTGGTCATCAGACAACAAACAACCAGAATCATAACAGTTGGTATTAGAGCGATTGGATCTAGACTCTCCAGCAATTGATGAGTTGAAGCAACCATCATCATGTGGCGAGATACTGGAGTTGAGTCTCATGGCGATTCATCATCTTCAGGGTGGTTGTCAGTAAGGGTGGTGGTAGTGAGTGTGTGGCGAGAAGAATTGGACAGAGGGTGACTCACTCCTGACCACGGTTGTGTAGGAGTGGTTGGCGATTGGTGCTCAGAGGCCTGAGAGGCTCTGGGAGGCTATTTTTAGCCTGGCGATTCATTTGGAGGCTGACGATTGGCAGGGAAGTGATCCCAGGAGGTTGCGATCGTGGAATTGGGTCAGGATCCCCAATTTCCAAGCAGCGCAGTACAGCGTGATGTGGCGCTGCACTGACTTTATCAGTTATTGGCACCTGGGAGTCCGAATTCTTTGAATCTGTCAATTGGGGGCAAAGCGCCTCAGGGTAATCTACTGGATCCCTAAGTTTCAGGCAATTTGGCACGTGGGAACACCGGATACTGTTAGGAGATGAAACTGGCGAGATGGGTTTGACCTGTCAGCCATAGCCAGGGTTTCATGCATCTTCTTCAGAGTTGACCCTGAAGTAAGTGTGTTCCTTACTCCATCTTGTGTGGCGATTCTAGGACTACTTTTATAATAGTGAAGTTTGGTCTGTCTGTCAGGTGACAGTTGAAAATCGAAATTCAGACTGTGGGACAGCCATATCCAACTTTCCCTACCTATCTTCTTTGATTTCTACTAACCCTGATTGACCTTCTTTCTGACTCATCTTTCATCTGTGACTGCCTTACAATATTGCGATTTATACTGTGTAGTGAATTGGTGAATTGGGGTTCATGTTTTCAATGATAATGCAAATTTGAATTTTGCGCTGACAGAGCTAATGTCGGGCTAGACTAAGGCCAGCCATAACTTCGATTCTGTCCGTCAGAATTCAATTATGTCAGTCCCTGGTAAATCGCAATTCAGTACTCAGTTTGTGTCTGAAATCGCACATCCAGATTTGATGTCTTGAGTCAGTTACAGTGAAAACTGTAATTCGCCATACCGAGGGTATGGCATACAGGGTCATACAGTGG